CACAGTCCTTCCAAATCCCTTCATTTTGCTGCAAGTGGGAGCATGTATTCCTTCTGTGGTGATGCGATTTTCCGTGGTAAGCTTGCACCCCATCTTCGCGATTTGCCCATTGGAGGAGATGTCTCCGGCTTCCACGTGCTGGCTCCTGTAAAGATGCTGCTGTGAATACTGCAGAACACCTGGGGGAATTTTTGTTGATGGTTTCGTAGTCTTGGATAGACGCCTGAGAGTGGGATTGCTGGGTCCTATGTTATTTTTAGTTTTCTGCGGTGAATCGGGATTGTTTGCATAAGGGTTGTCCCCGCCAGGGTGAAGGGGCCCCTTTCTCTCCGCATCCTCTCCCGCTCCTGTTGGGGTCTTTTCCATCTGGCTCACTGCAGTCAGATCCGCATGTCTCATTAGGAGCGGTGGCTTCCGAGTATCATTTTAGTAGATTGTCTACTTCTATTCGTTGCCCATTTGTTAACTGAGTTGTTTTTCAGTCATTGAATTTTGAGCTTTTAATGTATCTTGGGTATTAATACCTCATCAGTTAGATAATGTATAAATGTTTTTTCCACTTCGGCAGAATATCTATGTAATTGTCTTGTGCTTTCTTTTGTTTTTGACTTGAAGCCATCCCAACTGTTTATTCTTGTTTTTCGTTCTCTTGTCATAGGAATTAAATCACCAAAAATAATCTTTATTGTTGATACTCTGGTATCACCAATGTTTTTCCTTGTATTCTATGTTGCAGCTCATATCTTAATCTTTAATCCACTTGGAATTTATTTTTGTGCATGGGGTTAGTGAGAAATTCAACTTTATTCTTTATTTTTCTTTATTCTTGTGGTTTTCCAATTTTCCCAGCATCATTTTTGTGTGTGTGTGTGTTAAATATTTTTTTTATTATTATTATTAAAAAGTTTATTTTTACATCATTTTACACATTTTTTTTTCATCTCAATTGTAATCCCCACAGGTTTCCCATCACCAAATCACCCCTGTGCCACCACCATAGTCCCGTGCATTTCCCTCCCTCCCCCCCACCCCACCCCCC